AACCACCAAAAAAACGCTACCCATATAGTTAGATGATGGGGCAGTACCCAAGCAAGAGCCCTGGAGGGAACAGAGCTGGTGCCAGACAAGTTCCGCTGCTTTGGCGGGCCGACCACAGCGGCGGGGAACTTGGTTTGGGGGTTGGGGCTTAAGGTTTGAGGGTGAAGGGGGGGAGTGCGGGATTGAATTTTGGTATGATCCTAGGGATTTGAGTTTATCGGGCAGAGATTCACCCCCTTACTCCTTCTAAGCACCGGTAAGCTTGGGCATTGGAAGGTGTGAGGGCTATGAGGTCTGTGTACATGCGTGAGATTTTGGTGCTTGGCGGGTTTTGTGTTTTGGAGGTTTGGGATTTTCGGGCATTCGGGCTTTTGGAGGTTCAGGGTGTTGGGGTTTAAACGGGTTAAGGCTTTTGGGAGGTAGCGGCTTTGGATCTTAGACTTAGCGGCCGGCAGAGTGGATCGCGTCCACGAACCCTGAAAACGCCGAAGCCAAGATTTTTTTCGGGACGGACCTTTGGCTTGGCATGGCTGGAAGCAGGTCTGGTTTCCAAAAGCTGTAGGGTAGAATTACTGTGGATGGAAGCAATCTTGCGTCTCTTGAGATCCCCAAGCTGCCGTGCTTCCTCGGGTACATGGCATGTAGGGTGGTACAGGATTTCTTCCATCCACCGCAGTTTAGGCTTTGTTAGTGGCATTGGCATGGCGATGTGCAGGTTGTTGGATGACTGGCATCGATGTCTTGGTTGGGGTTTGTATCGATTGCGGCCTACATAAGGAGGCTTGCGGGGAGCCATCGCCATAAGGACTTGGGGGAGGAGGGAGCGACCAACCGAAGAAACTTCCATCGGCAGAGAGGCTGATTCGCATAGAAGAGCAGAGGCAGAGACTTCCGGGGCTTTCGCTCGAAGGGCCTTTGAGTGTGGCACACAGCGTGTACGACAGGTTTGCATCAAGGCGTGAGCCCGGTATTGCCCCGAATCTTTGCCTCATACGTAATGCTGAGCTGACGGGAGAGAAGCCGCCCAAAGCATTACACTTGGATGCCTTGAAGAAAGGTCTCTTAGCCAAAGACGACTCCTATTTGGTTTCCAATACAGTAAGCAACAGTACATTGGGGTCTATGAACATTGAGGGCCCCTATTCATGGACACTCCGAGAATTGAGCACATCTGATTTGAGACCGATCCATTTTGGTTTTGGGGCAGGCTATCTCCAAAATGAGTCGAACGCTGAATGTGGACACTATAGCGCGCCAGACAGAGTCAGAATATGTATCTTCCTCCTCGGTATGGTATTGTGTGGAAAAAATCCAATCCTTGCAGCAACTTCAGGTGCTGTGGTACATGAACCCTTGTGACCCTGAGCTGGTAAAACCCAAGCAGCCCTGCAATTTCCCTTCTTCTGCAGGTTCTGATGGAGCTCTAGACAACCTAAGTCCTGAAACCTATACCCGAAATCCTAAAGCTCAACCTTCACGAAAAGCCCTCAGGTCCTGTGGTGTGAGATGGCGCAGACCTTCTCGCTGATATTCTCTGGCGTGACGGCCCTGGGCCTTGTGGCGGCTTGTTCGCAGTTTAGGCTTTAGGGTTTAGTGGTATTTTCCTGCATGCTGTAATCCTCATAGAAGGAACTCGAGGGAATGGAAACAAACATGGACACCATCCTATTGTTGGGATTTTAGAAGCTCCTATGTGCGCCTATATACCTCTATACATCCCCTATAACCTATAACCCTACACCCTAAGCCCCTTCAAAGGGTTGGAGATCCAATCATTCCATAAGAACAACCAGCAAGACTTCCCCATTGAAGTACTGACCGATTCTAACAGGTTGGCTGCAAGAAAGAGTGGCGTTTTCATGACTTAAAGGTTGGACTATATATGTACTACTTTTGATCTTCGGACCAAACATGACCTGATTAGATTGGATTACCATAGCCTTAGACGAGACCGCAATTTCTGGGACCCCCTCAAACCTAAGAATCTGTAGCATCATGCTCAGGTAGCTTGCATCTGCTTCCAACGGGACCGCATCCGCAGCTTCAACAACATCCTTTACCACGCCTCTCTGGCTGAAGCGGTGTGGGGTTTCTAGGGGCTGAGGGTTTGGGGTTCAGGGTTTAGGGTTGAGAGTCTTGCTAGGGGTTTAGGGTTCACAGTTTAGGGTCTAGAGGTTTTAGAGCTTGATGAGTTTGATGGGGGGCAGGGGCCCGACGGCCTGGAGAAGCCTGAGTAACTAGCCAGACTCTGCACCCAAAATCGGATAATGCTTGATAAATGGGGCCCAATACAAACCCCAAGAAATTCTAATCCTCATTATGAGGAACCTCGAAAAGGGATCCCGAATTTTTACTCTGTGGTGCGCAAGAAGGAAGGCTGCGGGCTTTCCAGCTGTGTGTAGTTTTGATGTCCGACCTTCCCGAAGCCTGGAATTATAACAAGTCGCGTGCTGGGTGAGATGTACTCTGTTACGTCCCAACAACCCAAACCTGAGGACTTCGGCTATGGAGGGATGGATCCTACCTAGGAGCTTTGCAACATCCCTCGTAGTAGCCCCTTTATCCCAGTCCTTCATTCTGTATTAACCACCAGTAACTTAGGGATACTTGGAAACAATCTTTACTTTTCGCTTATTATAATCCTAAGGAAC